CATCCCAGAACAGCAGAAAAACCCAACCGTGAACTTCAGCTTTCACCTCCCAAACCTCTGCAGGTTTTGGCCACCGAGGATTTTCCCTGAACTGAACCCACGTGGGTTTTTCCAGCAAGGCTTTCAAATGAGGAATTAGGAATCCTGTCGTGTGCGTTCCTTCCTCTCCCTCGAACTGAATCTCCGAGGGAAGAATTTAATCAAAGCCAGCTGCTAATTACTTTCCTGACACCGGGGGAGAAGGATGTTGGCATCCGAAAGATCTGCAAGATTTCTCCTTATTAATATTTGATAAATCCGTAATTGGATCGTTTGATTTGGYAGTCTCCTTTGAATAGAAACTTTATTGAAATGAATCTTTATGAATTCAGGCCGTGAACTTCAGGGGCTGATAAGGCTGGGATTGATTGGAGGATCTTGGAACAGCAACCCCAGAGAGGAGATAAATTGGGATTGCCTAAGGACAAGTCAATACAGGCTGGATGTAATCCAGAGTGCTTCCTATTAGAGGACATCAATTACATTCTGTAAAGAGTTAAAGTTGAATTCCTCCAATTTCTCATTTTTTTTTTTTTTTTTTTTTGTGCTGAAGTTCAGCGATTCCGCATGAATATTTCATTTAAAAGCAAATGAGAATTAAGTGTGCTAACATTGAATTAATAAAAGAGTTGAGCGGCGTCCAAGAGTGAGCAAATGTGCTCATGAAAAAAAGTCCAAAAATCAAAATTGCAATGTTATAGCTACTTAATATATCATATTGTTTAGGAATGGATATCATCATTTCCTCTTGATCCCGATAAAATAAAGCCAAAACTTTATTAAATGCAATAAGGACATTGTAGGGCTGAATATTATTACCATGGACACAAAACCAATGCCTTGCTCTGATTTTGAACTCTCGAAACCTCTGGAACTGGTTTATGTTAATAAACTCCTGCTAATAAACCAGTGGCAAAGCAAAATAAATGCCCAGAAATCTCTGGTTTAGAAGTAAAATAAATTCAAGGCCTTGCACAGAGTCACCGAGGGATGGGAACGCCCAATCTTTTTATTTGGGAGAGATTAAAATTCCCTTTCCTGAACCAGCAACGCTGCTTGGAACAGAAAGCAAAGAAATGGCAAAAAAAAATGAGAAGGAAGAATTTTAATCTTGCTATTCCAAAGTGGTTTGTGTGTGTTTTTCCTCTGGACTTTGGGAGGATTTTAAAGGGATTTTGGGATTGTGCAACTGTCCCTCAATATTTTTAATTCCACATTTCAAGAGTTGTGTTAGTTTGCACAGCACAGCACACTCCCAGAGATTCAGGATTCCAYCCCCCTCTGGAATAATGGCTAAAATTTGAAGGGGATGAGGAAAAGGTGAAACATGTTGGAGCATTTTCATGGAATCCCAGAATGGTTTGGGTTGGATCAGACCTTAAATCCCATCCCATCCCATCCCTCTCCCTGTCATGGGCAGGGACACTTCCACTGTCCCAGGGTGCTCCAAACCCAGTCCAGCCTGGCCTGGGACATTCCAGGGATGGGACAGCCCCAGCTTTTCTGGGAATTCCAATGGATAATGGAATAAAACTGCGAGTGCCGTGCTGGGATTTTCCCAGCTGCTCCTGCACCTCTGGCAGCCTTGGGGCTGTGCCCAATGTATGGGGGGCCTGCTCAGGGCCTTTGCATCAAAAAAAAAAAAGGAAAAAAAAAAACCACCCCAAAAATGTTCAAAAAAAAAAAAAAAAAAAGGAAAAAAAAAAAAAAAAAAAATGAAAAATCAGAGTATGTGTGGAAACGACAGAACCTGATAAAATTATTATTATTATGCCAATTATTATTGTTTTAAATAAATTTATTATTATTATTATTATTATTATTATTATTATTATTATTATTATTATTATTATTATTATTATTATTATTATTATGTGTAAGTTATCTGAGATATTGCCCCTAAGTCAGAGTTTTATGGCAGAAGTGCCACCGATGCTCCCCGTTCCGGGAACCTCTGGCCTTGGGCTTTTCCTTAGCGAAAACATTCCCCCCTCAATTCCCTACAATAACAATTCCCTACAATTACAATTCCCTACAATAACAAATCCCCTTTTCCCCTATTTTTTTCCCATTTTCACTTTACAGATCCCCGGGAATGATGGGGTGAGGGCGGTTTACGCTCCGTGACTCCCCCCTGGTGGCCCCCGCGGGTATTGCACCACCGGGCCTCCTTCGCCGCCCATCACAAGGGGTAAGACCGGTTTGGAACCACCCGAGAGGACGCCTCAGCCCCGCCATGACCGATCCCAGCCCCACCGGCCCTCTCGGTACTCCCCGGTTCCCTCCTCGGTATCTCCCGGTCCCTCCGGGCCCCGCCGCTCCCGCCGCCATCACCGCTTCCCCCTCAGGGCTTCTCACCGCCCCGTCTGCAGACCTGAGCAACACAGCGCCGAGCGGCCGATTCCTCCCGGTTCCGCACCACGCCGATCGCGGTGTCGGCGAATCGATTGGCTCAGCCTGGGGACGGGCGGMGCGGGCGTGGCGGGGGCGGACGGGCGCCGCCATTTTGCAGGAAGAGGTGAGCGGGGCCGGGCGTTTATTTTTCTTCTCCGCTTTTTTTCTGGTTTTTTTTTCCTCTTTTCCCGTTTCCTTCTATTTTCCCGTCACCTGTTGCTGACTGTCCCCGGCAGCGCCACTCCTGGGTCAGTGTGCTGTACCGGAGGAGGCCGTGAGGGGCGGGCGGGGTGTGAGGAGGTTTCGGGGTTGAGTTCAGCACTTTCCTCTTTCCCTTCYCTTTTCTATTCAAYTTTCCTTTCCWTTCCTTTTCCTCGTCCCTTTTCTGTTCTCTCCCCTCTTTTCTTCTCTTTTCCAGGGGTATCCGGGCCTGTCAGCGGGGGGAGAGCGCCGTTTGCCATGGCCAATGTGAGTGCCGCCACTTTCTGTGGACATCACGGAAAAAAAAAGTGGAATTGAGGATTATTAAATAGAATTACAGACAGGTTTGGATTGGAAGAGCTCTTAAAGCCAAGAATTCCTTTCTGATACCCCCAACCCTGCCCTCTTTCAGTTTGGCTATCCCAGGAACAACATAATTGAGGAATAAATATATTTTTTCCAGTGTTTTTTATATTATCCTGTGCTCAACCACAAGAATTCTGTGTTTTTGTGGAGGATTAAATACATTTTTCCAGTGTTTTTTATATTATACTGTACTCAACCACAAGAATTCTGTGTTTTTGTGACACTCAGCTGATTCCAGGCTAGAGAAGAAAACACCTTTATTGATTTTTTTTTTTTTTTAAATTGCTCTTTCCATGAATAATTCATGAATTTSCTCGGCGTTGTTTGGTTTGTGTAATGCCAGGTGTGTCAATATTTGCATGAGCTGGAATTGGTGACATCCCTGCTAAGTGAGSCTGGTAATAAGGAAAAAATGCTCTTTTCTTATAATTACATGTCAGCTGTAATTGTTTACATCTGTTTATRGCACCATCATTATGCAAAAATTAACATCGATAGTGATTTTACATAATGGAGGAAAAATAGATTTCAGTGGGATCGGAATTTTGTTGTGTTAAAGGAGCCTTTTGAAGCTGTTTTAGGAAGAGGCAGCTTCAGGTTTCAACTGTAAATAATTGATTGAAGTCAGGGATTAAATGTCTCTTTAATTCAAGTTTTTGTAATTTGGTAGATTTTTTTTATATTTACATTTATATTTATATATATATTTATATTTGTAGAGGTGCTGTGTGAGAAACCTTTTACTGCCTTAGGCTCTGACACTTTTAATACCATTTTCACATTAAATATACAAATAGCACCATTTATTCTCTTCTTTTAAAAGTAAACCACTTCTGAAAGGGCTTTTTTTTGAAGCAACCTAATTCTGTATGTGTTTAGTGGTAAAATTGCATAAATTTTTATAGAATCAAAGGAAAATCCTTTTATGTTATTTTCTCAAAAGGATTTATATTCCTCACCTGCAATGTTGAATTTTACAGAAATCAAATAATCATGGAGGCAATCCCTATTCATAATTTATTTTAAGTTGTGAGGTTTCAGTGGTATTATTTAAAGATTTTAAAGGTTTTTTTCTCATAGGAGGGGCCTTCCATTGAGTGTTTTTAGGGCTTTTTCTTTGCTAGGAGCAGCAAAATGTAAAAATATCAATAAAATACCTTTAAATCTTGATGTTGCAGTTGATAATAATTAAAATTTGTATATAACAAAGGGAGGATTTCTCTTGTGGCCCACAGAGCTGTGCTTGAATGATTATTTTAATTCTGTTTTTCTCTTYTCAGGTGCTCTGTAACAGAGCAAGATTGGTCACCTACCTCCCAGGCTTTTATTCCTTAGTCAAAAGAGTTGGCAATCCCAAGAATTTTTCCACAGCAGGTTCCTCTGGCTCAGATGAGCCCCATGTGGCTGCTGCACCTCCTGATTTATGTAAGGAAAAGCAAATTTATTCCCTTTCCATCTGTGTGCTGGCAGAATTTGGGAATTTTAAAATGTGCTTTGTTTTGGTGGTGTTTATTATCAAGTCCAGCTGTGGGAGAGGGGKTTTTCCTTTGGTTTTCCTGGTTTTTTTTTTGGGATTTGCTGATTAAAACAAAGCTTYCTGCAGGTCCCAGGACTGTGTGGCCGGATGAGGTGATGGGACCCTTTGGTCCCCAGGATCAGAGGTTCCAGCTGCCTGGGAATATTGGTTTTGATTGTCACCTCAATGGCACTGCTTCCCAAAAGAAATCCCAAACTTCCAAGAGTCTCCCGGATATTTTGGCAGAGCCCTCAGCAAGTGAGAGGCACGAGTTTGTAATGGCACAATACATCAATGAATTCCAGGTGAGAGCAAACTCTGGGGTGAAACAGAGCTGATCTTTCTCTCTTCCTGAAAAAAAACAATTCCTGGCTGGTTTGGAAATGTGAACTTTAMCTGGGTTGAGCAAGAGATTACACAGAACCTGCCTGAAGTGGTTTTTTTTTTGTTTTTCGAGGACAGAAATATTTCAGGCTGTGTTTTGAAATAGCATTTTAGGAGTGACTTCATGGGAGAAGTTAAATTTCCAAACTTGCTGTTTGCCAAGTCTCGTCATCTTTTGGGAAATTAAATTTAAATTTTCTTYAATRTTTCATTTTGTGCACMTGGATTTGCATGGTTTAGTTSTGAAAATCACAGAATTCCCACAGGAGAAGCAGCACAATGAGACTGAATTTTGGCAGATAGATCATTAAGGACAAAATCTTTGGTAATTGCTGGCCTGATCCCAACATTCCCAAAAATATTTCRTGCTGCTGACTCAGCTTTCCATGCCCTGAGTTTGTGGAATGCTCAGATTTTGGGAGTCTGTGGGAAAATCTCCATGGGAAAAGTGCTGGATCATGGATTTTATGAATGAGTCATTGTATCCCAAAGTGCTCAGGAAACATCAGGATCCTGTTTTCCCTAAAAAGCCACCAGAAAATTCTGGTTTATTTTGCTTAGTGCAAACCAGGTGCTTTTAGAATCAGGAAATATCTGAAATCTGTAAGTTAAAATTTTATTGAACACTTAAAACCATTATTTCAGACTGATAATTAACAAAAAGTTCTGTCTTGATTTTTCTTTAACTCAATACAGTTCCAATAAAATATAAAATTCCCATTTCTATAAAATATAAATATTTCTATGTAGATTTAAGTAGCACCAATATCTATTTTAACTGAAAAATGTGAAGCCTTATTGCAGATCATCTGAAAATGCATGAGTGCTTCTGATCACAAAAACATCTTTTGATGTACAAAGTGATTTTTATTTTATATCAACTGAGAAAATTCCAATTTTTGTGTTTTTCAGGGTGCTGATGCTCCYCAGAAGCAGCCAATAAATAATGCTGAAACCTATTTTGAAAATGCCAAGGTGGAATGTGCAGTGCAAGCCTGTCCTGAGCTGCTGAGAAAAGGTGCACTTTTATATGAAATCACAACTTTTTCAAAATGTAAAAATATAAAAATATCGAAGGAAATGCTCTGTCATTGATGCCACAGAATGTGGAGTAGAAAAGGTTAATTCAGAGTTAATAATTTAAAAAAAATCTCATTGTATAAATGGAAAATCAAAGCTTTGCTGTTGACAATATTTAGYATTTCATATAAAATTAAATTTCCAGCTGCTGCCTTAGTGCCAGGTGGATTCTGGAAATTAAAATCCACTTATCAAATCCTTAATAAAATAACAAATAGGAAACATGARACTCCTGCAGCACTGTGCTTTTAATGTGTTTTTTTGTGTTTTCAATTTATTCAAGAAGGAAATGACTGAAATTAAATTGGAATAAAACAGATTTAAAAAGTGAAATAAGCCTGAATTTTTGCTCTGGGTGAGAGGGGAAGGCTCAGATGGAAGAACAGGACTGTTTTCCCATTTTTCAGATTTTGAGTCCCTGTTCCCAGAGGTGAATTCCAACCGTCTGACTGTGCTGACTGTCACCCAGAAAACTAAAAATGACATGACTGTGTGGAGCCAGGAGGTGGAGGATGAGAGAGAGATGCTCTTAGAAAATGTGAGTGGATTCATTTAATTTCCCTTGGGATGTTTATCTTTGTGAGCCACTCTGGTGCATTTCTGCCTCTGTTGTTGTATTTTTAAAGCATTTTGGAGTTAACCCTTTTCTCTTATAAAATTGAGAATTTTTTTTTTCAGCTTTAAAACTTTTTGACTGCTTTATGTGAAATGTTTGCTTAGAAAATGTGAGTGGATTCATTTATTTCCCTTGGGAGGTGAATCTTTGTGACCCACTCCGGTGCATTTCTGGCTCTGTTGTTGTRTTTTTAAAGCATTTTGGAGTTAACCCTTTTCTCTTACAAAATTGAGAATTTTTTTTCCACCTTAAAATTTTTTGACTGCTTTATGTGAAATGTTTGCTTAGAAAATGTGAGTGGATTCATTTATTTCCCTTGGGAGGTGAATCTTTGTGACCCACTCYGGTGCATTTCTGGCTCTGTTGTTGTATTTTTAAAGCATTTTGGAGTTAACCCTTTTCTCTTACAAAATTGAGAATTTTTTTTCCACCTTAAAATTTTTTGACTGCTTTATGTGAAATGTTTGCTTAGAAAATGTGAGTGGATTCATTTATTTCCCTTGGGAGGTGAATCTTTGTGACCCACTCCGGTGCATTTCTGGCTCTGTTCTGTATTTTTAAATCATTTTGGAGTTTTAACCCTTTTCTTTTACAAAATTGAGATTTTTTTCTTTCCCAGCTTTAAAACTTTTTGACTGTTTTATGTGAAATGTTTGCTTTGAATTCTTAAATTCTTCAGAGTGGGGTGAGCCAAAAGTCTGTTCAAACATTACAGGAGATTYATAAAAACACTTAATTGTTGTCCTGATCCAGCAACTATTTTCTCACCTTATTCCAGTTTTAATCCAATGGATTTAGTGGGATTTCACTGTTTTTATTTTTCTGTGATTTAATTAAGATTTAACTGCAGGATCTGTCTGAGCATTTTTTGCTGGTCAAAACTGTAAAAACCCATCAATTTCTTTGTGATTTTTCCCATTTTAATAGATGCTAATAATTCTTTTACCCTGAATTTAAATCCTGTTATTCCATCTGAATTTTGTCTTGTTTTTTTACCACTAGAGGTCTCTGAAAATCCCTTTATTTCCCTTTTTCCACACTTTTGGCATTACCCCACTGAGTGTCGCTGTTCACTTGGCACCTCAAAAAAGAACATTCCCATCTCTTATTTCTAAAAATCTCCCCAAACCCAGCATTTTTATCTGTTTCTAAATATCATATTTATACCTGAAATAATCTGGAAATGCCACATTTCAATTTAAATGCAAACGTGGCCTCTCTGAAACCAACACAAAAAAAAAGGAAGCRCCATAAAATGAGACACAAATTAAAATTCTCTTCATTTCAGTGTTTTCTTCTCTTTGAATTATTTCTGGGCTGTTGCTCTTTGGTGTTGTAATCTGGTCTAATTATTTGTTAATTGGCATTTTTCTTCTTCAGGCACCTCCCTGTCAAGTCCAATAGAATCACTGGAGGGGTGTGAGGATGGTGTAACCTCCTCCTCTGACAGCAAATTCACCAAAAATTTGCTGTTTATTTGCTGAAAAATCCTCATTTCAGGGGCTGGAAAATAAATATGTGCAGCCAAATCGAAATATTTGTATTAATCCAGCTCAAGTGTTAATTAATCTCACTGTGAGGGGTTGTCCCAGCACTAAAAGATCAGAAATGTCCTGGCTAAAATGATGTTTTCAGGTGGTTTGCTGATATTTTTTATTTAATTTACAGCTTGGACATAATTAATCATCAGAGCTGTCAAAACTCAAAATACACAGAGTTTATTTTAAAGGATAAACTTTCCTTATTTTGAACTAATACAGAATTTACTGTAAAGGATAAAATTCCTTTATTTTGAACTAATAAGGAATTTACTATAAAGGGTAATCTTTTCTTATTTTGAACTAATACAGAATTTGCTGTAAAGGATAAAATTCCCTTATTTTGAACTAATACAGAATTTACTGTAAAGAGTAAATTTCCCTTATTTGGGACCTGTAAGGGACTGAAGCTAAATAATAATTTTTATAGATTTGAAACTTTGAGCTGCTTAGGCCACTGATGGTAGAGAAAGTCCAGTTTTTATAACTGAAAATAATCAAAGAATTTTCTGTGCAATAGATAAAGTAAGAAATAGTTCTTTTTGTGCAATTACAACCTCATTTAATACCTTTCTTTTCCCAATTTTTTTCCCTTTCAGTTCATTAATGGTGCCAAGGAAATCTGCTATGCAATTTCTTCTGAGGGCTACTGGGCCGATTTCATTGACCCATCCTCAGGACTGGCAGTAAGTTATTTCTGGGTRCACTTTGGAGGGATCCTGGATGGCTTAAACCCAGCTTTTTTGGGGGATAATTCCTTTAATAAATTAAAATAATAACCCTGAGTTCCCAAACTGTGTCAGCATTGTTAGGAAGTGAAGTTGGATTTTAGGAACTGAAGGAGGGAGAACATTGTTCAGTTGTGGAGTTGGATTTTAGGAACTGGAGAACATTTTTCAGCTGTGGAGTTGGATTTTAGGGAATTGAAAAAGGAGAGCATTGTTCAAATGTGGAGTTGGATTTTAGGGAATTGGAGAAAGGAGAACATTGTCCAGCTGTGGAGTTGGATTTTAGGGAACTGGAAAACATTGTCCAGGTGTGGAGTTGGATTTTAGGGAATTGGAGAAAATTGTTCAGCTGTGGAGTTGGATTTTAGGGAATTGGAGAGCATTGTTCAGCTGTGGAGTTGGATTTTAAGGAATTGGAGAAAAGAGAACATTGTTCAGCTGTGGAGTTGGATTTTAGGGAATTGGAGAACATTGTTCAGCTGTGGAGTTGGATTTTAGGGAACTGGAGAGCTTTGTTCAGATGTGGAGTTGGATTTTATGGAAGTGGAGAAGGGAGAGCATTGTTCAGATGCGGAGTTGGATTTTAGGAACTGGAAAAGGGAGAACATTGTTCAGCTGTGGAGATGAATTTTAGGAGATGGAGAACATTGTTCAGCTGTGGAATTGGATTTTAGGGAATTGGAGAGCATTGTTCAGCTGTGGAGTTGGATTTTAGGGAATTGGAGAAAGGAGAACATTGTTTAAATGTGGAGTTGGATTTTAGGAACTGGAGAATATTGTTCAGCTGTGGAGTTGGATTTTAGGAACTGGAAAAGGGAGAACATTGTTCAAATGTGGAGTTGGATTTTAGGGAATTGGAGAAGGAGAGCATTGTTCAGGTGTGGAGTTGGATTTTAGGAATTGGAGAACATTGTTCAGTTACGGTGTTGGATTTTAGGGAATTGGAGAAGGGAGAACATTGTTCAGCTGTGGAGTTGGATTTTAGGGAATTGGAGAACATTGTTCAGCTGTGGAGTTGGATTTTAGGAACTGGAGAGCATTGTTCAGATGTGGAGTTGAATTTTAGGGAATTGGAGAACATTGTTCAGCTGTGGATTTGGATTTTATGGAAGTGGAGAAGGGAGAGCGTTGTTCAGCTGTGGAGATGAATTTTAGGAGATGGAGAACATTGTTCAGCTGTGGAATTGGATTTTAGGGAATTGGAGAGCATTGCTCAGCTGTGGAGTTGGATTTTAGGAATTGGAGAAGGGAGAACATTGTTTAAATGTGGAGTTGGATTTTAGGAATTGGAGAATATTGTTCAAATGTGGAGTTGGATTTTAGGGACTGGAGAAGGGAGAACATGTAGAGCTGTGGAGTTGGATTTTAGGAATAGGAGGACATTGTTCAGATGTGAAGTTGGATTTTAGGAACTGGAGAACATTGTTCAGCTGTGGAGTTGGATTTTAGGGAACTGGAGAACATTGTTCAGCTGTGGAGTTGGATTTTAGGNGAATTGTAAAAGGATGAACATTGTTCAGCTGTGGAGTTGGATTTTAGGGAATTGGAGAACATTGTTCAGATGTGGAGTTGGATTTTAGGGAATTGGAAAATACTGTTCAAATGTGGAGTTGGATTTTAGGAACTGGAAAACATTGTTCAGATGTGGAGTTGGATTTTAGGAATTGGAGAAGGGAGAACATTGTTCAGCTGTGGAGTTGGATTTTAGGAATTGGAGAAGGGAGAACATTGTTCTGCTGTGGAGTTGGATTTTAGGAATTGGAGAACATTGTTCAGCTGGATTTTGGAGAACTGGATTTTAGGGATTTGGAGAGATATTGTTCAGTTATGGAGTTGGATTTTAGGGAATTGGAGAGCATTGTCCAACTGTGGAGTTGGTGTTTAGAGAACTGGAGAACATTGTTCAGATGTGGTGTTGGATTTTATGGAATTGGAGAAAGGAGAACACTGTCCAGCTGTGGAGTTGGATTTTAGAAAATTGGAGGAGAGCATTGTTCAGCTGTGGAGTTGGTTTTTAGGAATTGGAGAACATTGTTCAGATGTGGAGTTGGATTTTAGGGAATTGGAAAATACTGTTCAAATGTGGAGTTGGATTTTAGGAACTGGAGAAGGGAGAACATTGTTCAGCTATGGAGTTGGATTTTAGGGAATTGGAGAGGGGAGAACATTGTCCAGCTGTGGAGTTGGATTTTAGGGAATTGGAGAGGGGAGAACATTGTCCAACTGTGGAGTTGGATTTTAGAGAACTGGAAAATATTCTTCAGATGTGGAGTTGGATTTTAGGGAATTGGAGAACATTGTTCAGGTGTGGAGTTGGATTTTAGGGAATTGGAGAATATTGTTCAGATGTGGAGTTGGATTTTAGGGAATTGGAAAATACTGTTCAAATGTGGAGTTGGATTTTAGGAACTGGAGAACATTGTTCAGATGTGGGGTTGGATTTTAGGAACTGGAGAGCATTGTTCAGTTACGGAGTTGGATTTTAGGGAATTGGAGAACATTGTTCAGCTGTGGAGTTGGTGTTTAGAGAATTGGAAAAGGATGAACATTGTTCTGTTGTGGAGTTGGATTTTAGGAACTGGAGAACATTGTCCAGGTGTGGAGTTGCATTTTAGGGAACTGGAGAAAGGAGAACATTGTCCAACTGTGGAGTTGGATTTTAGAGAACTGGAAAATATTCTTCAGCTGTGGGGTTGGATTTTAGGGAATTGGAGAAAGGAGAACATTGTTCAGTTATGGAGTTGGATTTTAGGGAATTGGAGAAGGGAGAACATTGTCCAGCTGTGGAGTTGGATTTTAGGAATTGGAGAACATTGTTCAGCTGTGGATTTGGATTTTAGGGAATTGGAGAAGTTTCTGCCCCAAATCCTTGGTGACTTTATGCCCTCCCCAGGTAACTTGGGAACCCCAACACCTGTGGAGGTGAAGCCTTTAAAAAGCCTCTTTGCACCTGTTAATGATCCCTTTGTCCAAAAAAAAATGAACTTTTTGTTCCTGTGGAACAGTGGGAGCATTCAGTGGGGGATGAATTTTAGTCAGAGCTCTGYTAAAACCATATCAGAGTTCAAGGTGATCATGGCAAAGCTCAGCTTAGTGCGGTTCTATTTAAAAACACCACAAAAAGCAGGGATTTCTTGTGTCAACACAGCAAAAATGGGATTTTTGTAATGTGAACAGGCAGTTCAGGGCTGTGCAGTGCTTACAAACTTCCCAGAAATCCCTGGATTTAAGGAGTTAGGGATTGAGGGAAGCAGGGTTTTGTTTTCAGATCCCAGTAATAACATCCTTGCTGAGAATCAGGAGTGGATTTTGAGTCAGAAGCTTCTTCCTGAGACAGAGCTGAATTTTGGGATTTAAGGACATTTTTGCTTTTCAGAACAAMTCATGACAAAGTTAAATTTTTAGTTTTTTTCCATTCCCTAGAAAGGTTTTTTCATTACTCCATGTCTTGTTTGTGCTGTTTCACTGTGAATTTCTGGAAAGATTCTGCTGCCTCTGCAGGGATTAAGGACAAAATCTGTGAATATTTGGGATTGAAATCCAAATATCAATTGATATCCACTCCAATACCAAAGGAAATAAAATAAAACTCAAAAATAAAAAAAAAAAAACTTTTAAAAAACTCAAAAAACTTTAAAATAAAACTCCAAAAACTTCTCCAGCAGCAACCTGGCACTGCTGAACTTAGCCTTTGTTTTCAGAATTATAAATCCTTTTTTTTTTTTTCTGTTTTCCCTCAGTTTTTTGGGCCTTACTCCAACAACCCCCTGTTCGAGACGGACGAGCGCTACCGGCATTTGGGATTTTCTGTGGATGATTTGGGATGCTGCAAAGTGATCAGGCACAACCTTTGGGGTACCCACGTGGTCGTGGGGAGCATTTTCACCAACGCTGAGCCCGACAGTCCCATCATGAGGAAACTCAGTGGAAACTGAGCCCTCCAGCTCACCCAGATTGCTGTGACTTCTGTATTTGACTTGATTTTTGGCAGGAAATCCCTCAATTCCAAGTGTTCTTAGAGAATAAAGTAGCAGTTTATTTATTGGGTAGTGTTTTGGGAATATGTGTTCACCACATGTGGCTTGGAATTTGGATTATGACAACRTTCAGAGCCACAGGAATTCCCATTTGGGATTTGGAACATAGCTATCATCTCTTTTTTTTTTATCTTATCTTCCATTTTCTCAATCAATTTTCACTGTCCAACATTAATATTCAGAATCCTGGTGCCACTGAAATTTCCAGCAATTTGGCTGTTCCTGAAATTAGAAACTGGCAAAAAACAACAAAAAAAAGAATGAGTCATAAAATTGTTCTCCCAGAATACAGAACTTAATCAAATTTGCACAACTGAGCTAATCACTCATTTGCTGTTTAAAATAAGAATGAGGTCAACTTTCAGTGGTCTCCATAAAAAAGTCCTTAATTACTTTGGAATTACTCATCTCTTTTTTTTTTTTTTGACTTCATGGTGCTTGGGGTTTATTTTCTCAGTGTTAGCTAAATGTATTTAATTAGTTTATATATCTAAAAGTGATTTAAAGTTGCTTTTGTAACTTTCTTAGGTCATTAAATACATTGTCAAAAAAAAAAAAGAGATAATGAGGCAAGTCTTGGATGTCATCATTGTTTTCCTGTGCTTGGATGCAATCTAGACTTGCCTCTGGAATTTGGAAATGCAAAGAGCAATTAGGATCAATTATTGCAATTAAAAAGATGTTTCAACAGGAAACTTTCAGGCTCTTCAGGTATCAGAAAAATAAATCAGATTGATGGGGGAACAACAGGGGAAGGAATTCCAAGGCACCTGAAATACCTGGGATGAAGCAATAAAGCAGATTTTAATCTCATCCCAGTCGGTTTTGGGGCCGTTTTTATGGTGATGGAACAATGGGAATCCTTCAGGCTTTGCTCCATGGCAGTGTGGTGCAATTCAGGAATCTGAACTTTATCCCAAAGTTATCCCACACCCTGAATTTCCCTGTCCTGGGTGGCTCTGGGTGCTCTGCTCCCTCCTCAGGGAGCTTTTGGTGGATTTAAAAGCTGATCCTTGACCAAGTGCCTGCATTCCATTCCCAGTTTTCTCCCTCAGGCAGCAGTTCCCAAATTTCCATGCCCAATTCCCAAATTTCCCTGCCCAATTCCCTCCCAAAGGCAGCAATTCCCAAATTTCCATTCTTAATTCTCTCCCTGAGGCTGCAATTCCCAAATTTCCATTCCCAATTCCCAAATTTCTCTGCTCTCCATACCCAATTCCAGGGAAGCTTTCCAAGGGAGGAGTGAGTACTTTCCAATTCCCTCCTTCAGGCAGTAATTCCCAAATTTCCCTGCCCAATTCCCTTCCTCAGTCTGTAATTCCCAAATTTCCATTCCCAATTCCCTTCCTTAGGAGCAATTCCCAAATTTCCATGCCCAATTCCCTCCCAAAGGCAGCAATTCCCAAATTTCCATTCCCAATTCCCAAATTTCCCTTCTCTCCATTCCCAATTCCCTCCCAAAGGCAGCAATTCCCAAATTTCCCTGCCCAGTTTTCTCCCTCGGGCAGCAATTCCCAAATTTCCATTCCCAATTCCCAAATTTCCCAATTCTCAAATTTCCATTCCCAATTCCCAAATTTCCCTGCCACCATTGTCCCTGTGCTGGCTCTGCCCTTCCCACACCCAAGGGTGAAATCCATGGATTTTGGGGTCAGATAATAAAAAAGGACTTTTAAAAGCACCAAAAAATCCCCCAAACTGAGCTCTATTTATGGAATTTCRTTTTGTGTCCCCCTTAAAATTAAAAGGGAATTTAAAAAAAAAAACAAAAAAATCCCCCAAATTGAGCTCTATGGAATTTTATATTGTCCCCCTTAAAATCAAAAGGGATTTAAAAAAGTGCACCTGGAGCAGGGAATGCTGGGAATTCCAGGGTTAAAGGCAGAGGGAAAAGGGTTTTAAATTTACAAAAGAAACCCCCTGGGATTTTCCCCTCTTTTTTTTCCCTCTCCACCACATTTTAAATCCATCTGCTCAGAGAACAATTTTCCCTCCCTGTAATTAATGAAACATTCCCACATTTTCCTCCTCTTGAGCTCCCGGTGTTATATATATAAAAAAATGTATAAAAATATATATACATTTATATATAATTTTATATATAAAAAAATAAAACCCCCATATATATATCTCATCTATAAAGATGTAATAGATATAAAAATATGAACCCATATATTTAATCAAAATATAAACCCCATATATGTATATCTCATCTATAAAAATATATGTATAAATATATAAACCCATATATTTAATCAAAATATAAACCCCATATATATGTCATGTATAAAAATATAAAAACCCACATAGATAATACGTATAAAAATATAAATTGCATATATATATATATAATAGATAAAAATATTAAAACCCACATAGATAATATGTATAAAAATATAAATTGCATATATATATCCTAGATAAAAATATAAAATATTATAAAAATATATAAATATAAAAATACAAAAATAAATATGAAAATATAAAAAGTTAAAAAAATAAAAAAATAAAAATATAAAATATTTTGTACAAATTATTCATCATTTGACACAAACCTGAGGATGTTCCTGTTTGATTTGGGGTTCCTGGATCCCGTTTTCCCTCTCCTGCTCTGCGAAAAAAATTCCCCATTTCCCATAATTGTGCTCCATTTAATCCCAAAGAATTTGATCAGACCCCTGACACCAAAGATTTAAACCATTTATTTATACAAATGTACAGCATTTACAGGAGTTAAAAACAATTAGAAATTTCAAACAACAGCCCGGAGAGAGCCTAAAAAAATAAACCYGGTGCAGCTCAGCATTTGTGGGGTTTGAAATCCCCCAAAAACTCAGGGTCARACCCCAAAATAGTGCAGGGAGTGCGTTCAATCACCTTAATTTCCTTTTTTTTTAATTTTTTTTTAAACTCAGTGTCCAGCTCTGCTCTGGTTTTGGACAGGCTGTGGATTTTTGGGAATCTCCAGAGCRAAGTGGAATTTGCATAGAATAAAAGATTAAAACTCTTCATACCAGCAGGACTGAAAAGACAACGAAATTCCAGGTTTGGGCTGGGGGTGAGGCCAAAAAAAGTTCATTTTCT